CCAATAATAAAACACGAAAAATAGGTACATTCGCAGAGCATGAGGCACTGCTCATCAGATCCAAAATCCTGCAAAACGTTCTGTGAAGGGGATATACTGCATGCAAGTATATTATCCTGTGTTCATGCCTCTCACAAATATAGTTCATCCAACTTCTAAAAACATACATTCCCCTGCCAAGTCACGCGTGTCAATCACTGTTGGCAAAAGAACACTCTTGCACATTCTCTAGGGATCAGAGTCCGTTTTAAAGTTGCAGCAAAGCCCACCAAAAAAGATCATTCTTCTCCCTACACTTTATTTTAATCCTAAAACAGGTATCTCTCTTTTTGTTCTGTAAAGTATAAATATTCATTCTGCCTTAACACTTGTGAGAGGGGAAAAAGCCTAGTCAAGTATGATTGAGATTTACTCTGGATGAGCAGCAGCAGCAAAGTGCATGCAGCCATGTTACTTTCTGGCAGCTCCTTGTCAGGACACCACCATCACCGCTGCAGAGAGCCTAAAGCCAAATCCAAATCCAAATCCAAACCAACACGTACACACACTCGTACTTACACACAGACACTGATGCTCCACTCATGCCGAGGATTTTTGAAACTACCACCGCTTGCAGGTTAATGGTTTGCAGGAACTGTCACGAACAACAACAAAAAAAAGAAAACTGGTTTTGAACAAACCTACCTTATTTTATTGAAGAAGAGGTTGAAAAGAGAAAGGTGTACGGGAAAAGTGTGGAGAGTAATTCGCATAAGATTATGCAGAGATTGAAGTGGCAGAGGATGGCAGGGGGGAGCGAGAGAGAGTGTGTGCTAGAGAGGGGGTGAGAGTGAGTGTGCAATCCCAATGATTGTTGTTGTGTTGCATCGATATCCGCTGCGGCACATCGGGTGCACCCACAATCCAGATCTCTGGCAGCTGCCAGAAACAAACAGAATCCCCCCCCCCCCTCCCACACACACATAGTCTTCTCACACATTCATTGCAATATGCAACACTGGATGATATCACACTTGCTTTGTGAGGAGAGGGAAAAATAAACACAAAAATAGCAAAAGAGTGGCAGTTTTTTTCCAGAGTTTAATGGTCACTGCTTTGTGCATACAGTTAATCAAAGTGAACACAGACATGAGACATTGTCTACACCTGATGTTCAACTCAATTCTAGCACATTGGAGCAAGGATTTTGAAATGTAATTAAAATTATAAAATTAAAATCGAAACGGAAGTATGAGTCTTCCGAAATGAAACTCGTCGTAGATGAGGGGGGAGGGGTGATAGTGAAGATCGCGGCCATGGGCCAGAGTAGCATCGACGGCCCTTGCGCCCATTCCAGGGACGCTCTCCCCCAACATGGGGAGAAAAATAGGTGTTGGCGTTTGATGGCCCGTGGCTCGCTAATTTTCAAGCTGAGCCAGCAGGTTTCCAATTTCCACCAATTCAAAATTAGGTTCGTTTTGGCAGTTTATTGTTGGCTTTGTAGAATGTTTCTTAATTTTCCCCCTTGCTGGACCTCGGCAGGCCCCACAGGATTGTATCATGCGAGGGGCGTCGATTATTTGGTGATAAACTGAGAGACCCAAGTGGAGACTAATTCAGTGCAGTGCTGTTAAAACGGGAAATACAAACTGTTTTTCAGCATCTAAGCACAATGGTACGAGGCTCACTACGTAGAAGGTTTTGACTATGTTTGCAAGCGCAGGACTGGGTTTAGGGGGGGAAAAAAAAAAAAAAAAAAAAAAAAAACCGGAGGCATCCCAGAACAAACCCACGGTTTCGTTGTGCCGCAAAGCAAGCCAAATCTTGCCCGAAATAATGTAGCGGCCCTGGGAGGGCCAGAGGAGCTTGCTTGAGAGGAGAGCGGTAACGCAACCGAAATAGCATTTGGAGCTCCAGTGATCCCCTAAGACTATAGTGATTCCCAGTGATACTTTTTCTAACGAACTCCGCAATACAGACCAGCGCTGATACGGTACTGTAGTAGCTCCGTCCGATGGCCGCGCCGGGAAAACAAAAGTCGAGGAATGATCCTTTGGAGGCTGGGAGGGCGAAGGGGTGTGCTTTGATCCTATTCTTGTTGTCCATGTTCGTCGCTAACTGGCTTAGTTTCGGAACACACACACACACACACACACATATATTTTTACATATACATATACATATTAAATTTCCGGTTGTCAATCACCTGCTCTTATGCAACAAATGTCATTGAAACCCTGACAGGTGCTTTGTCTAAAATTCAATCAGATAATACGAATGGTTCTTTTCGTAACCTCAAATGTCTTCTCCCATTCTCCTCTTCGAAACCTAATCGAATTGGAAGTCCCTGAAATAATAGGATTTGTGAGCTTCTGCAATCTTCGAGAAGAAAGATTTCAAGCAAGGTTAGCCAAATCTAGCAGAAATGAAATCGGTGGTCACACCAAACTAGTATGACGGTGCTCTCGGAGCGGAGTGTGCTTAAGAATTTCCATGAAGTTCAGCTCCTATTGCCTGAGACTGCCGATGAAATAATTTGCATTTTAAGGGGCGACGAGAAGGCGACTTGTAGGGACGGTGTGCTGTGCCGCAAACTAATAAGCTATGGGCAAACCATATGAAAGCTGGATGACGTGGGCGCCGAATTCCTTGCACCGACATTTGTGAGCTTGTATTACTCATGAACCGCCCCTCGAATCACAAGAGTTCGCATCTGAGGCTAGCTTGGGATTCTAACATCCAAGTGGCTCGAGAATTAAATATTTAACGGCCACTGAGTTAAATATTACTGAAGTGCAACCAAGTGTAGATTGTTTTTCTTTGAGTTCAATTCAGCAAGTTAAATGTTCCGCTAATGTCTATACACAAGAAAAAAAAAGAAAAAAGAAAAAAGGAACACTTCTCGATATTTCCATTGATTCTATAAATATCCAATCGGCTCGCCGGGATTGACATCAGATACTAGGCAACTTCCTCTCGGAGAGTCCCCCGCTGAAGCACGCAAAAGGAACGGAATGGAGCTTAGAACTCGATTGTTTTGTTTGTTTGTTGGTTTGTTTGTTTTGTTTTGTTTTGTTTTATTTTTTTTGTTTTTGGTTTTTTTTTTCTGTGACGAGCCCAAGTCAAGCTTGCTATTAGCAAAAATGATGAAAGAAAAAGTGCTTTGTGATGCGTGTAAAGGAGCGGTGACCTGTTTGCTTACTAAGTGACAGTGTGGGCAACTCATCCAAGCCCTAATGGGTTCGACGACAGCGGTAAAAAGAAATAGCTTCACATCTTATACTTTTGCCAGTATAAAGTGAGTCAAATAATCAACAGGAGAAAAAGAAGGGGATAGCATTAAATAAGCAAAATGTGCTTAGCCGTCTGCTTTATATTCTGTCATAAATGCATCAATCATAGACAATCAAGTTGGTGAAGAAGGGGCGATGGGAGTTACCATGTGAACTCATTTCAAGAGCTCTGAATGAGGCCCTTCGATGAATGCTGGGCCTCAATTCGCAGCCGCTCATTCCTCCAAGAAACTGATTTATTGACTGATCGGGCTCTTCATTCATCGATCTCTGATCGATAAAATCGTCGCCACACGCAAAACCAGCCAGCGACTTAAAGACATCAACGCTAAGTAGATCTATTTGAATTCCAGGATTAGATCCTCGTCTGCAAAGTGATGAATGAGAATGAATGAGGATAATATTAAACTAGGGACGTATTAAAGCTCAAAAGTTGAGTTTCGCACACCAATCCCTCCAGGCGCTGCCAGCTCTTTGCTGAGGGCTTCAGTACAAACTTTCCCAGCTGATACAAGCTTGCCACTTCGGTAGTCTATAGATCTATTCTGCTCAGCCTACGGTGGTTCACGACGTTGGAATTAACTCTTGTCTCGCTGCTCCCTTTCCACGCCTTCAAAGCAGATTCACCCCCCCCCCCTCTCAATCAAGCGTATGTTTGTGTCTTGCAAATTTGTGGTGTGAAACCTGCTCGTCAAAGAGGAGAGAACTCTGAAGAAAACGTGACCCATAAATTCTCTTAATGTACAGCTGCTTTCATCTCCTAAATGCCCATACTCTTCCCAAACTCCAAAAATAAGAAAAACATAGTGGCCAATGAGTGAAAAGGAGTTACATACGATCCTTTAATATCAAAGGGAGTTAGACAAGCCCATACCACAGCCTCTATCAAATTAGACACATGTGATCAAACTTAATTTTCAACTCCACTGTTCAAATTTTCAATTAAGTCCAAAGCACACCAATCAATGCCCCATTCCACTTAATGTATTTGCATGCATACAGGCACATGAGGAAGAGGTGGTTGGAAGCTACATTCAATGCACCTCAGCCATAGCACTAAGCATTTCTTCACAATGCCTAGAATTTACACAATTATTAAATGGTTACAAGTAGATTTTCCCTAACTAACAAAGAATAAAAAGAGCAGGAAATAGAAACTTCACACTCCTATAAGTAGCAGGTTTTGAATACTGAAACTGCCCTAGAGAATACTGTGATTGCTGATGAACCCAATAAATTAATACTAGAGTACTGTTGCAACAAAAAAAACAGAATTGGGCCCACCTGAGAAAAACTGTTCCTAATTGGATATTTAACTGGAGTTCAGTGGAAATCAAGGTATGGAACGCCATGAGCATCAGACAACAAGAGCACAAGGAACGAAGTGTCAGCCCTAAATATCGTGAGAGGAGCATGGCAAAAACATATGGGGGTGATCGGAACTCGGTAACCAGGAATGGAGGAAAGAAGGAAATTAGCACTCCGCTATCACAACTAAGATCCAGACGAGATCCCACTAGAAAGAAGGGGAACGAGAATACAACCAAGCATGAAACGGGGATGAACAAGATTATAATAAGGAGAATATGCTAGCCCAAACCAGAAAGGACAACGGGGGGGCCCTAGTAAACGACTCTACTCTCAGCGGAGGTCAGGGCTTAGGCGAGGGCCAGGGATCTGACCCACGTCCCCCATCCCAATTGCCTCCTCGGGACTTAAACAGTATTTAGTATAACTACCAGCTTCAATCAAATGTGAGTTTCAACCATTTCGTCCTGGCGTGAGTATTCTCGTCCTGTCATCATCCTCATTCAGGCCCGTGGTTTGGTGTGTATATTATCTTGTTTTCAGTCCCTCAGTACCCTCCCTTCTCCCCCGCACTCCAACAGAGCTGGTGAGTCTCGCAGTAGAGAGCTCAGATCTGATTCCAGTTGCCTAGATTGTGGCCTGCCCTCGCGGCTCAGCGGTGAAGGTCTCAGGTTGGTTGTTGAGATTGCGGGGGGTTTCGACAGGGTGGTTTAGAGTGAGCTGGTTTGAGGAGCATGTTGGAAAGTTTCTCTGGTACAGGGTAGCTAGGTGATTCCGCTCAGGTTGGTTGATCAAGCTCGCAACGAAAGGAATGGTGTACAGTGAAAGCATGGCTTCTATCACTGGTGAGTATTCGTGTCCCTTGTTCGCCTCATCCAGCAGTGGACTGGTGTTTTCTAGAATTCTCACTGTGCCTTCTCTTCTTAACTCAGGTTCGGTAGTTGTCTGTGTTCGGAGCGTGTTACCAGTCACCCTGGGGCGAGGGCCTCTTCCATGTTTCGAGAATAATTGTGTATCGTAAAGGGTCTCTTATTTCTCGTGGTTACAACTCAGGGTTATCCTGCAATGCCTTCTAATATTTTCACTAAGAGCTACCAATGGTGTGAGCAATTCTTGTGGTAGCAAATCTGGAGGTTGCAGTCACGGTCGCCAATCCACTCTTCTTCCGTTGATGTAGAGTATCTCTTTCTTCCAAAAGATGCGAGATTTCGATTTTCATATCGCTCTGTCTCCTCAGTCGCGAGTAATCGACCGAAGTTTAGAGATCAATAGTTGATTTAGTTCGCTCGGTAGGCGCGTTCCTTTTCTTTTTTGATATGGAGTTTCTAGTTCATTTTTTGCTTACTTCACACAATAAATTAAAGTTGTTTACTTACTCCCTCCCCGTCTCTGTGGATTTCAGAATTCAACGCATCCAAGCCTGAGCTCCTTCTGCACGATTCTAGATTGTAAATTGGCACTATTCCATTGGGTTCAGACGACCCATTGCAGCGATCAGCTTTACTTTCGGTGAACACCTCAATCGATCAAAATGCCGCCGTGCTTTGTTTCCCCCTACTCTGCTGGCGCTGAGTATCTCGGCAAGGCAGGAAACGACTCTTTCATGATGGGAAGTTTTGCTTCCACATTCGTGGAGGGTGCCATCATCGTGGGAGGCGGTCCCTCGGGTCTGGCCGCCGCCGCGTGCCTCAAGATGAAGGGAGTACCGTCCCTAATCATTGAGAAATCAGATGGCATTGGTTCCCTATGGAAGTACAAAGCATACGACCGCTTGCACCTCCACATCCCGAAACAATTCTGTGAGTTGCCGTACTATCCCTTCCCAGAGGAGTACCCGTTGTACCCGAACAGGAAGCAATTTGTCGACTATTTGGAGAACTACTTCCAGCATTTCGACATGCGCGCCAAGTTCGAAACTAAGGTGAAGACGGCGTCATACGACCCGCGCCTGTCGTGCTGGAAGGTTGATACTCAGCCTTCAGGTGCAGATTCTGAGTGTGTTACGGAGTACCGTGCTAGGTGGCTGATTGTTGCATCTGGAGAAAACGCAGAGCCTTACACCCCTGACTTGTCGGGGTTGCGAGATTTCAAAGGTCCAGTGTTGCACTCAAGCACCTACAAGACGGGAGCTGATTACGAGGGACAACGGGTGCTCGTCGTAGGATGTGGAAATTCGGGGATGGAGATTGCCTTGGACTTGGCTAATTTCCGAGCCAAGCCCTCTCTTGTTGTACGGAGCGCAGTGCACATTCTACCCAGGGAGATATTTGGCACGTCGACGTTCGCTGTGGCAATGAGAATGATGAAGAGCTTCCCTTTGTGGTTCACTGATATGCTTCTGGTGTGGTACACTTGGGCCATGCTGGGCGACACCACGAGCTATGGCTTCAAGCGGCCGACAGACGGGCCGATGACGATCAAGTGCAAGCAGGGCAAGACGCCTATTCTGGATGTGGGCACTTTCGCGAAGATAAAGAGCGGCGCTATCAAGGTGTGTCCGGGAGTGGAATATCTTGCCCCTCATGGAGCACATTTTGCTAATCGCCAATTCGCAGAGTTCGATGCCATCGTGCTGGCTACTGGGTACAGGAGCAATGTCCCGCAATGGCTCAAGGATGACAGCGGTTTCTTCTCAGCGGAGGGTCTTCCGAAAAACCCTTCTCATGGAACCTGGAAGGCGGAACGGGGCCTTTACATTGCCGGGCTGGGAAGGAAAGGGATTTTGGGAGCGACCTTCGATGCCAAAAATATTGCCGAGGATATAAGCGAAGCTTACTCCTCAGAGTCCCACAGGATACTGGTCTCCCCTCTTCAACATAGGTAGCCCTGTTCGTGGAGATCCCTCTCCGATTTTCAATCAATTTTGACATTCTCGACGCTGCCACCGTTTGCCAGTTTTTTTGTCTCCCTCTTTGAAGGGGATTTCGAAACTCACCGAGAAGACTCGCACCAAGTCACCTGGAAAGTTTAACTATGAATTTCCTATTCTTTTTTCTTTTTTCTTTCCACAGTACTTCGATGTTCTCGAGTTCGGCATTTGCGGAAGGAGTTTGAGTTTGACTGCCTGACGTCTCGCGGGATCGTCGATGTTGGCGACAACTCGCATTATGCATGCGGACGCGTGTGCTGTAACTCAAATGTTGAAGTGATAGTGAAGGAGTAGCGTCCACCTGGAGTGTTTTTATGACGAGGTTGGGTCAACGCACAGAGAAGAAGATGGCAGAAGTATAGATACGTAGGGGAGAGTTTAATACTAGTTGGGGGCCAAAAGCTTGTGCACCCCTTCCGGCCAACTTGTACCATACATTTTTTTGCACAACATCTACAACACTAGCTGAATACTAGTTTAGAGTAAAACGTTATCTACCCACATCGTCTTCTTGCACACTTTGTTCCGAACTATCTTGAATTCGAAAGTTTCTCGTTATGAACCCCATGCCGTGTTGCTATCCACCGAGCACTTCGAGCAATAAATTGCGTTTGGAACTCTGCACCATTTCCTTTTCTCACACATCACCGAACATTGCCACACTGGAGCCGTTGCCCAAATCACATCTAGCAGAAACAGCTTCGTTGTGACATTGTAACAATTGCTCGCTGAGTATCATCATGCTGACATTTCGTGGCGGCTGGAAGATTTGGCAAGCCGAATGAGTGATGCTTCCAACCAAAAAGACCCTAGATCGCAGTGGAATCATCGCCGTTTCTAGTGCTACGAGATTGCAGTGAACGGCCAGAGAATAGAGTAAGGGTTGGAGAGCAAACGGAGAGTATGACAGCAGCAAACTCATGCACAGCTTCATAACAGAAAGAAAACCACCATCACTACCGTCCGCCCATGCTAGAAATAGCTAGAACTGGCAGTTTTTTACTCTTTTATTCTTATATCTTTCTCTTCAGTGCTAGTTATCTAAGTGTGTAGATCCATTGATTGATGGGGACTGAGCTGAGCTGTGACTAGAGAAGGGTCTTTAACTCCAGGGGGTGTGTTGGGGGAGGCTGCTTGGTGGAGAGATATTTAGGAATGTGGTGCTTGATGGATCATCCATCAATGTGGGTTAGTACACAATGAATGGTGAGCAGTTGGCTTTCATGTGACCCAAACCTTAGTTGGAGCCTCCTCCTTGTGCTTGGCATTCATAGGGCTTGGTTTTCCAAGTGCTTGGAATAGAGGGCTTGGAACTTTTTGAAGGATCATTAAATTCTCCAATGATTTAACTGGTGCCCATGGGAAATAGTGGACAAGAGCATGATTGTCACAAAAGTGTTTAATTGCCCACCCTCAGTGTTCCAGAGTGGAGGAACTTTACAGTATATGTATACAAGCATTTTGACATTATTTACATGAAGTCACAAATTCTTGACATGGTTAATGCCAGCCCTTTCTATCTTAACCCATGCTTTTGACCACACCCTCTTCCCCACTTTTTTTTTTTCTTTGTCCCGTGTTCTGCATGTGCCAGTAGTCTCATTAACATTTTTTTTGATGATTCCACTAACATCAATTACAGATTTCAATTGGCTATGACAATTCTTATGATTTTTTTTTTATTATTTTTTTATTTTTTTATGTAGAAAATCTGAAGTTGAATAAATCTTGTTTGCAAGAGTTTTGTACCTAAATTCTTAGACATGTAATATTCATTTTTAAAGTTCTGAAAAATCAAGTAATTGTAACATTACATAATGAAATATGCTATGACTATTTCCCTCTAGAAACCACAGTGTTATTTTCTTTGTTCTTTGTGCTTAGAGGTAAGCATGTTTAAATTTTGGCATGTGAGCATATGTAAATTTTCCTTCATTGACCAGCACATGGCATTTATAAATTCCATTCAAACACCTGTAAAGTCAGTGCAAATTGTACTTGGTGTTTTAAATTTGCTTGGAAAATACCTTATCTGCTGCATGGGAATGTGAGCCAGTGCATGTTCCAACCCAAGCTTTTAATATACCCCTTAGGTCACATTCCATAAAGAGTCCAAGAAGGTATGCAACACAGTTTCCAATAGCAACTGCCATCCTAACATACTCCACATGAGATTGAGTAGTAATCATATGCAGAGGGCTGGGCACCACAGGCTTCCACTTTTTTCCTTTTCTGTTTTTTTTTTGTTTTTTTGTTTTTATGGTATAACTTCCTCAAAGCCACCATGTATGTGCCATGTCTTTAATCTCATTTGCTCACCTTATCAGCTTGGTTTGTACAGTCCATTGGGTGCCAAAGAGACTTGCATCATGGAGTCAAAAGGAAACAGCTAGAGCTACTACTAGAGCATGAGCTCTTCAAATCTCCATGTGATTTTGATGATAAGTGTACAGGGTGGTGCACTTCACACAAGTATGAATGCTGGAGGGAGAGGAAGCAATTAGGGTTACAAACAGTCCCACACATCAAACATAATCCATTTTCCCAAGTGTTGTTTTGAAATCATCATTCCTCTTTTTGTTTGGCAGAAAGAGGATAGGAAATGAAAATGGAACTAGGACTGAATCAGAATTGAGTCATTGACACTCTTCCTCCTTTCCCTATCTTTCCATCTGCAATCCTTAAAATCCCACTGGGTGTGACATCCTATGCAGGTAAGGGAGGTTATGTTTTTCAAAATCCCCGCTGAAGTTGGAGTTTATTGGGTTATGGGTTCAATGGCAGTGCCCAGCTGACCAGCTTCATTCCTTTGATCCTTCTTCACCTCCTCTACCACTATAGCACTGTAAGAGTGTCTGGGCTTGTGACATGGGGCTTGGTTTCTAGTGAGATTCCTCCCAACCACATATGAATTGAAATGCAGCAAGCTTTGTTGCTGTCATTGTTTTGGTTGGCCCTCCAATCTCCTTTCCTTGCAAAAATCAGCCAAAAAGCTTGTTCAAGTTTGAAAGAGTACAAAACATAGTTCCGTCTATCGACTACTTTAATGAAAAGGGTATGCAACAGAAAAAACAAACAAACAAACAAAAATCAAAAGCCTTGAGAATGTAAGCTTTTTTGTGAGGGGTGGGAAGTAAATTCCATCATTGTTTTCTTAAATCGGAGAAGGGCTTTGCAAGTTGCCACAGCAAAAGGAGAAAAAAGGAATGCTAGAGTGATGATGGAAATGGGAGGGAGTTCAATTTTTCTTTTCTTCTTTTCCTCAACTTAGTAAGTATTCAAGGAAACAACCTCCAATGGCATGTAGTGAAATATAACCCTGCCTTTTCGGTAGAAAGATTATGAGAGGGAGCTAAATTTATTTCAATTATAACATCAAGAAAATATCCGCGGTGGGTAAGTTTGTGAGGCAGAGGAGGAAGAGACTTGGCAGAATGAGGAGCCAAGGAATTTGGGAGATTCCAGGGCAGCAGAGTATATGACAAAATACGCAATCATTCGTACTCATACTCGCATACACAACAAACAACAAAACTTCTAAAAAAACACACACAATGGAGGCTGTGAAAGTGGTGGGAACGTCGAGAACGTAGGGAACGTAACCCTATTTGCACCCACCTCCCCGCTGGAAGGAAAAAAACAGAAGAAGAAAAAGGGTCCACTTTGTTTAAGGTCCGAAAGATTAATCTGCCATGTCAGCATATGCGAGGGCTCCACCACATCGGTCGATAAGTCGCATAACACGTTCGGACAATGAGAAAAGGGGCCGAATCATCAAGGGGTTCAAAAACGATCGTGTTCACATTGGCTGGATAAACTAGTTCTCCCATGCATTGGGTCCACCCAGAGAGAGCGGGATTCGGCCTGGAATGGCGGGAACCAATGGCTGGTGTCCAATTAAGAATGCTTCTCCCCTAAATGGGGGCGGGATTCTCCATTGCCACGTGTGCATGGCTAGGGGGGGTTTCCGCGGGAACATTTTCGAGTGCCACTTCTCTCTCTCTCTTGCGTGGCACAGATTTTCGTCTCCATTGTGCATTATGGAGGGGCCATAAAGAAATAAGGAAATAATAATCCAGGGTGGGTGTGTGGATTTCATGACTCTAAAAGAAGTAAATTAGGTTTTCGAAGTGTGCACTATCTGATAAGATCCTTTTATCAGAATTTGTGGTCTGGTGCCTGCATTGCACAATATCAAGTTGAAGCAAAGTGGAGATCACAAGTCCGATGCCTTCTTTTTTCAGCTTTTTACTTTTAGTTTTTGAGTGACCTTTTATATTGGCCCCAAATTGGGGGTGTTGAAAAGCAAATGATTGTTGTCATTTGCCAACACTCGCAACTTGCACTGGCTGCTGGATTATTAAAAATGTTGTGGGGTTGTTAATTATTCCATGCTAAAAGTCCATCCCACTCTTCTGCTTACTAAATGCTCGCCTTCACAAGACATGCAAAAAACTGAACATTGCGGTGGACAATCAATTCTGTGCACTACCTTATAAATAGAATTAAACTACAACATCACTTACAAAGTATCTCATATCCTTCATATTTGACTATATATTTTTGAATACATAAACATCTGTATATTATATGACACTATATCTGATTTTGTTTTGCAAGTTTTGCATGCCATGCTTATCTTGGAATGATGTTCTAAACATACCAAATAAGTATTGATTAAACAAACTTGAATTGAATTTCATATATTAAATAATAATATTATTTTCAAATAGGCATATAATGTAAATATACACTCTTTAAGTTTTGAATTATGAAAAATCATATATACATATATATATATATATATATATATCTTACATTCGTGTTTTATAATCATGAAAAGTTGTCATTTTGTTACAACTAAATACAAATTTACTTTGAATAAAATAACAGTATTCGAAAATAAATAAATTACTATGATAATTATATTATGATATGGTTTTGTTATTATATGCAGTGTAGCTTATAAAGTCACGCCTATTTGTCATCCATGTTGACTGTGATGCTGACTTGTTTTAGAATAAATTTTAAACGAAAATGTAAACCAATGAACCAATTTCAATAGTAAATTATTCAATCTGAGCACCGAATGCAGACAACAATTTTGGTTGTATAAGATAGCTTATTTGTACTCATTCTGAAACATGCGCCCTTAAACTAAAGCAATATACATGTTTCAAAATTAATAATGCTTCAACTTTTGATACCTAGATACATCATTGTGCCTATAAAGGTTACCTTTTTTTTATTTTTTATTATTGGTGCTATGTTTTCAGAACCTTAGTTTTAATTTTTTTATTAACATATTCGTATAAGATGTAAATGTGATTCAATAAATACTTCCAGAATAAGTTCACATGTTCTAAGTTCATGGTATTGAGAGATCATATTGAATTTTTGCTCAATGCAGTGTGTTACCAAACTTGTAAAAATCCTATTCATTTACAGCCAAGATTGACTTTTATTCACATTTCTTCTTTGTTCACATTTCTTCTTTGTTATTTGTTGATTGTTTTGTTTGTTTGTTTGTTTGTTTTTTTTGTTTGTTATTTCCTTACATTCTATGA